CCAGTCTGAATCCCGGCTGGTGCAACAAGCGGCTTCATAGGCCATGGAGAAGCAAATCTGGACCCTCAACCTCTCAGTCCAGTTGAGGGAACAGCAGGGGAATATCTCCTGGGGCTGAGGTTTCTTCTTAGAGCCATGATATACCATGGCACTAAAGTTACTTGACTCTGCTGCTTGTAAAAATGAAATGGGAATTATTCATTGCGAAGGCTTGTGATTTGTTCATTAGCCTTAAAAGGAAATGTTAGTAAAAACAGCAGAGTGTGTGTATGTGTGTGTGTGTGTTATCACTCAGTCGTGTCCGACTCTTAGTGACCCCATGAACTGTAGCCCACCAGGCTCCTCTGTCCATGGGATTCTCCAGGCAAATGCTGGAGTGGGTTGCCATTTCCTAAAAATAGCAGTAAGGGTTGCTAAACCCATATAGGTGATTAAGGTGAACTGAGTTTCACTTGCTTCCAATGTTGTAGGCAGAGTAAACCTATCTTATTTGCTAAGGAAACACACAAATATAATTCCCAACCAACTAAAATGCTAGATACTAAGACCATTTAGAAATTTATACAAATGAACAATCAGTCTGTAAGATGGAAATGAAACCTATCCAATGATGAAATTATTAAAGGCAACATAGCTCAGCCTTGCAGGAACTATTGATTTTAAGGTCTCTCTCTAAGCTAATGAGAATGTCCCAGGCATAGAGTTAGAATTTTAGTGCTAGACAGAAGCTTTGAGATAATGGCATCAATTGTTGAGTGCTTACTATGTGCTGGGTGCTATTTTAAGTGTTGCATGCTTATGCAACAACAGAAGAAGTCCACACTGTTTCCCTTCCCACTTTTACAGATAGTGACTTGCCAAAGTCCAGCCAGTAAATGGTCAAGCATGAGGATTTGAGTCAAGTAATTCAACTCTAAAGCCTGTGCTCTCTCACACCTCACAATAGCACAGTGTCCCACATTTTGAGGTACTTGCTAATGAGTTAACTGGGTCAAGACAGATTTAGGCCAGAGAGAGGCTTGCACAATGGTGTCCGCCAGTGTCTGTCTCCTCAGGGAGAACTGCAGTCTCCAGGAGCTCTCCAAGACCAGCAGATGTTCCACCAAATTCCACCAGGAGTGGAATTTCCAAGTGCAGATTCTTGAGCTCATGCACACAAGAGAAGCAAATACTGGGAGGCCCAGCACTGTGTTTTAATAAGCTTGTAGCTGTGCCACCGATGTAGAGGGTTGTCAGTGGGGTCCTGCTCTTCACAGGGAGTAATAACACAATATTGGACACAGATTCACTCCCAAGTAATAGACCTAGAGCCTCAAAACTGGAATTTGTTATGGAAAAAAAAAAAGAGGCTTCGTAGGATGAAGCATCATTCAATGGCCCCTAACTCTCAGGAAAGCTGCTTCCCATACCTGAATTGTGAAAATACCCCCATCCTGCCCCAAATGTAGGTATCACCCTCTTCAGACCAAAGTGGAGGAGAGTTTGGGGGTCCAGGGCCAAAGGAACACACGTGACCTTTTCAGGCGCAACAGACAAGAGCTAGTGTGTTCCCTTCATCCCCAGATCCTCCCAGAATGGACTAGAGAGTCAGTACCACATTTCTGCCATTTCCAACCCTCACCTCTCCACCATCCCCTCCTCCCAAACTGATGGGGAAGCAAACACCAAAGTCACAGGTGACTCTGTGACTAGTTCTGGGGCTCCTGATGCCTCACAAGAGGTGTGTAGTTTGTCAGTTGTGTTAGAACTCCTTGGCATCTGTTTATAGAATGAGGTTTCTCCTCTTCTAGTGCCTACCAAAGTTTGCACAGGCCCCTCAACGTTCATCTCTACACAGTCAGCCAGGACTGAAATCCCCCGTGGGCTCCTGCTGGGAGTTTGCCCTTCTAAAGGGCCAGTGCTGAGCGTGAGTTTCTTGCATGTTTCTGGAGGCCATGCTCCGGCCAAGCAGCTGAAGCTGAACTGGAAACAGCATCGTCCTTTAAAATCCAACTCCTCAGCTCCTGGGTAAAGCAGCTGCCCCTGAGCTGAGAAACCAGTGGCTCAAGGGCTCCACCATGAGGAAGTCAGGAGATGTGACCCCAGGCAAATCGTCTCCTGGATCTTCCAGAGCAGGTACCACCCACAGGAAGCCAAGGGCTTCCAGCAGTAGCAAGAATAGAAATTTGGGTGCACTCAATGAAAAAATGGGATTTAAAGCCATGACAGCTGGGTTGGAGTCCTGCCTCTAATTTTTACTAGTTGTGTGGCCTTGGTCAAGTAACTTAACTTGTTTGAGCCTCAGGTCACTTAAAAACTACCAGTTTAGCTGAAAATTTCCTTGAGGTTTTTCGAATATCCCAAAGAACTTTTAGGCTAAGCCAATATTACTATGATACAGTAATTCTGCATAAAATCGGGGAACCAATGAAATGATTGGAATAATATACTTGCAAAAATCACCTTATAAATGCTAAGGTATGTACAAAGAATATTTTATTAAGAATCAAGTGTTCAAAATACAGTGAAGCACAGATTTTTCCTCTTAGAACCTGGACACTGTTGTTACTGGGGAGGCACCATCGAGAGCGTTCTTTGACCATTGCTCACACACACTGGAGATGCTTTTTTCCTCTGATCTGTGAACATACCAACCTGGAGTAAAGAATAGAGAGCAGCTGTGGTTGTGAGAGGTGGCACTTGGGGCAGAAAGCCCAGATGCACAAGTCACCTAAAAAGGTCACGTAAAGCAAGGACAGCTGTTTTTTTTTCATTGCCAACTGATGATACAGGCCACGGACACCACATTCTTTTGAAACAACCGTGCTCTTCTGAGACTCAACTCAACTCAGCTCCTCTCTCCTTCTCACCCTGTCCTCCAGACAATACTTCCCTTTCACTGAAGACTCGAACACCTGGCTCTCGGGGTCCACCCAAGGCGCAAATTCCAGACTCTCAGCTCCTGGATTGAAACACCCAGAAACATCCAGGTTCTTTCCTGTCCCTTTGCTTTTGTTTCCAGAACCACTTTCTGCTTTAACTATGATCCTTTTGGTTGCAAATCTAGAAACCTGGGCTTCCCAGGTGGCACTAGTGATGAAGAATCTGCCTGTAATGCGGGAGACACAGGAGACACGGGTTTGATTCCTGGGTCCGGAAGATCCCGTGGAGGAGGAAATGGTAATGCACTCCAGTGCATTCTCTTGCCTGGAGAATCCCATGGACCGTGGAGCCTGGGGGGCTACAGTCCAAAGGGTCACAAAGAGTTGCACAAAATGACTGAGACACTAAGCCCACACAAGAAACTTAACTTGAACTGTCTCAGGCAAAATACAGACGTTTATTACCTACACATCAAAAAGTCGCAGAGAATTGGGCTAAGGTTGGACTTTGGCATTAGAGGAAGGACCTTTTCTCTAGCTTTGTTATTAGAATAGAAGTGACCTTTTTCCATTAGTTTCAGTTAGAGAACATCTTACATAAGGACCTGGCCCCGCGTGGATCACATACATAATGCTGTGCCCAGACAGATGCAGATGAAGGAGCATTGGCAGCCCTGTGAGAATCACGGGGTTCAGAACAGAAGCAAGACCTCCCAGGATTAAGTGGCTGTTATTCCCAGAAGGGAGAGCAGAAGAGATAGTCTCCTCAATCACTCTCTGCTTGTAATGAAGCAGAAATCGTGCATAGAAATTTGTATCCTGGATTCTACTGCCAACTTCTTAGTTCTAGATTCAGAATTCCTATATTGTCAATTTTTTTCTGCTGAGAATCTCTCTTAAGTGCCTATAGCCCAAAGAGAAAAAATACATGAGAGCGGTACCTCTTTGGGGAGCAAGGGTAGGAGCAGACTGTGGGAAGTGTGAAAAAGCAGTTCTGGAGAATGGAGAACAAGTTTACCAGGAAAGTGTAGTATGATTGTCAGACAGTGCTGACGTAGGTGCTGTAAACTGTATGTTTGGGTCCCACCAAAATTCATGTTGAAACCTAGTCCCCAAACAAACAAAAAAGAAAAAATTTTAAAAAAAGAAAGAAAAAAAACCTAATCGCCAGTATGATGGTATTTGGGGGTGGGGCCTTTGGGAAGTGAGTGGATCATAAAGGCAGAGCCTTTATGAATGAGATTGTGGTTTAGTTGCTAAGTCACGTCTGACTCTTTTGTGACCCCATGGACTGTAACACACCAGGCTTCTCTGTCCATGGGATTTCCCAGGCAAGAATACTGGAGTGGGTTGCCATTTCCTTCTCCAGGGGATCTTCCCAGCCCAGGGATTGAACTCATGTCTCCTGCATTGGCAGGCAGATTCTTTAATGAACCACATGAGGGAAGCCCATGAATGAGATTGGCACCCTTGTAAAAGAGACTTCAGAGAGCCCCTTCCTTCATGTGAGGGCACAGCCAGTAGACAGCTGTCTATAAACCAAAAAGCAAGGTTCACCAGACGCTGAATCTGTTAGCATCTTGATCTTCAACTTCCTAACCTTGAGAACTGTGAAAAATAAATGTCTTGCTTAAGCCACCCACTCTACAGCAGTTTTTTGTATAGTGGCCCAGATGGACTAAGACAGTAGGTAATCACGAATGTAAAGTAGATCCAATTTGTCTTAAATGACTTTTTCTCTAGCAGTATTTGGCTGCCTGGGTACAAACGGGGAAAAACTGGATTGTTGTTTCATAATGGAATGGAGAATTGCTTTGAATTTTCTATGTAAGGTAGAAAATGCTGATAAACAACAGTTCAGGACACTGATAAGAATGTTACTACTAGTAATATGATATACTGTAGAATCTCAGCTGGATACAAAGAGACAGGAAGGAAAACTCATGGATTGAGAGAAAGTAGATGAGAGACAGCTGAAGGGGGTGCCACTTAGGTCAAAGAGTGGTAGGAGGAATAGTTAAAGTAATACCAATATGTGTTTATCTGTATACACAAATAGAAAATATACACAGTCCTTCACTAGGATAACCCCTGCACTTATAAAGACACTTTCTTACTCAAAAGGACATACATGAAATGAGAGACATGATACAATTTATTTCAATGTACTAAGGCAAAAAAATTAACAAAACAACTCATTTCTTTGGAAAAAATCAAATTGTATATATGCAGTGTTGGCTTGATTTCACTGTAATGTAAAATACATTAAAAATATTTGAGTATACCACATTCAATAAAGCTTTCTATGTACATAGTAGACACTTGTTTTGCTAAATGACCAGACATTTGGAAAAATCAGAACACAGTTTTAAAACAGAGTCAAATATATAAGTTAAGATTCTTGTAAACTTAGAAAAAGACTGAATTGTTATATTTTTACCTGTATAAAAAAAAACTCTTTAGTCTTTCATTTTCACCTGTATTTTCTTTAATAGAATTAAGCCCCAAATTTGAAGGTTTAAATTCTTTCATCCTAATGCCTTCGGACTATCAGATTTTCCTTTGAACCTGTAGCTGTCTAAAAAAGGAGCAGACCATTTTTTTTAGGAGCAGACCATTTAAACGAAGGAAAAATAAAGATATCCAGATTCCCAATCTGTGCCACTCATGTAGATTATGAAGAGTTCCTGAGTTGGCTACCCATTCACTCATCTTAGTTTAAAAACATAATAGCTGGTTACAGGATTAAACTGGCGTTCTTGCAGCCCATCAGCTTTCTTAATCACCGGAAATTATTGACATGTGGCCCTTAGCTTAATCTGAATAACTGTAATTTAGGAATTCTATGACATAATGTTAGCATATTTAAAAGTAAAATGCAAAATTCTGAATATTAAAGAATTTATTCTTTAAATATACAAGATGCTGTGTTTTCCATGAACAAACGAAAATCAAAATGGCAAAAGAAGCTGAAACATCTGAATGTTTCAAAATGAGTGAACTGAAAAATTTCATATATAAAAACATGACTGAGGTAAGCTTAAATTATAAGAATAATTGTTTATTTTATTTTCGTATGTAACTGAACAGCAAAACAGCCCTGTCTGAAAGCACTGGAGCAAACAGTCTTCCTGAGTCCTTTCAAGTCATGATTCTACATACTACAATGAAACATTTTTAATAAATGCAATTTGTCACTGAATGACTAGTTTTTACATTCTTAAATAATAAACTTAACTTTAACTACTATAGCAATGATTTAAATACATGTGCTGTTAAAACAAAAAAGTTATAAACATGTTCTGAATTATTTTCTTTGCTTGTGAGATAATATTGAAAAGAGATTCTATAAGTTCTTGACTCCCTAAGAACTAAGAACCAAAATACTAAACATAATAAATAAATATGAAACCTGGAAGCTCAGAAAAGAGGATAGAGTACTGAATATAATAAACCAGTGTATTAAAAAATCCAGTATTTCAGTATTAAAACTTCATCTCAATACAGTTAGGTTTATTGCTACGATAAATAAGCTTCATATTAAGGCACCTGTCATTACCTATGAGAAAGATGTGGATTCAAAACAAAGGGAATATGAAATATAAAACTTTTTTCTTTTATTCTTATGTCACTAGTGATATATTATCAACTTCAAATGTAAGTTTTTGTATTAGCAGAAGATGAACATCTTTGAATATATTACCTGAATATAGTTATAATGTTTATGATACAATAATTAATATATGTGATATCTTAATTAAACTATGTGATACTTTAATGGGAAAATAGGCAAAATCAAGTCAAGATGGATAGCAAGGACTAAATATTAGAAACATGGTAACTTCTAAGAAAAAAAACAATATATTGTAGTGACAGTGACTACGAGCAGATCTTGGCCAAGCCATTGAATCTGACTGAGCCTCACCCTCTCTCTCTATAAAATTTCAATACTGCCTGCTCTATCAAACTCATAAGGCTGTTTTGAGATCAAATGAGGTGATATAAAAACACTCAGCAAACTCTGAATCCTTGAACAATTATATGGTATTATGATAGGCCAAAATAGCTCAAGTTTCTGATATGCTCTCTAACATAAAGTCATGGCCTGTTCCTTTTGCATCCACTTGAAAACTCCCTGTTTTAATGCATTAGGTAGCTGTGGACTGAATGGAGGAAAAAGTTATGCAAAGAGAAAATCTCTAATCCTTCTTAAGCAGAATTGTACACAACAGTTTGCTGTGAGTGGGAAAACCCACTGCTTGCTTAGGCTCAGGCTACCTGTTGACACTTCCCTCCCACACAGGGAGCAGACTTCTCAGAGACCTTGGAGGTTTCCTCTGTCTCCCCAGGGACACCAGCTGCTATCATGTGACATGCATAGTTCCAGAAAAGAACTGAATCTCAATAACAGCATAAGAGAGTTTTAGGAGTATAAGAAATATAGCTGCGGTCAATCACAGGGACACTTCTCAGCTTGGCACAAAGTTGAAATGGCTCAATAATCCCCACCAGGTCCTCCCTTGCTTGGTCCACAAGCCCTTCTTCCATGTAGAAAATACTTCTGGGCCAGCTTTTTCCAAACTATGTTCTGAGGAACATTAGGTGAGATGTTAACAGGTGAAAAACAAATCTTTATTAAGTAGGTCTGGAATATGCAGTGGGGCCTACGGTGATGTACTGCAGAATTTCTCAGTATTTGATGTATCAACTATACATTCCAGAGAGGAATGGAGCATACAACATATCCCAAATGAGACCACAGAATCTTTTTTTTTTTCCTCCCCACAAAATATCTAGACAGGCTAACAGCTCTTATAATACTATTTCAGAAATAATATTCTAGCTAATCCACCCTGGTTTTAAACATTTCAGGGCAACATCTGGCTAAAATGATCCTTTTAATTTCTGAAGGAGCAGAATAATTTTGCTTACAAGGTCAACTATCATGATAACCTCAAGGATTCCACTCCATAAGTTTTCTCCCCAAAGCAGCTAAGAACCAAATTTCCTTAACTATAACGCTGAGAAATTCAAAGAAGTTATTCTCATGTTAATGAGAAGTACAATCTTTTTGAGGAAATATTTACATTCTTCTAAAACATTAAAAACACAAAGATCTAATTCTAGATCTTAGGACCTAGAATCACAGTTACTTTGAGGAGACGGAGAATTTTATCACATCACTGCAATAAACACTATTAATCACAATAATAATAACAGGAGAGGGAGAAGGGGGAGAGAAAGAGGAGGAGGCTGCAACAGCAGTATTGGCTGAGACTCTATGTTGCATCTCAATCCTCATGCACACTCTGAATTTAGGACCTGCTATCACATTCACTTTAGGGTTTACATTCATCTGAGGTTTGGACAGATTAACTGACTTTCCAAGGGTCACACAAAGTAGGACAGAATCTCAAATTCTATCTGACCCCCCACCCCATGCTCTTAACAACTACAGAATGCCATCTTATATTTTAGGGGTGAAACAAAAGCATTTGAAGGTCGTACTCTGAATGACAAACAGGAAAATTAAAGCATATTTCTATAAATTCAACTTGATTGATATTTGGTTTCAGATTCCCTTTTGAGCAAACTCCTAAGCCCTAAAGGAGATATTTTAGGTTTGTGTTTTGTTTTTAAGCAGAGAAAAATAGGCTGCCATTTACCAATGATGAGTTTAGATATGGGGAGGGTTTTAAAAATCTGCATCTAAGGTGAAGACATTATCTGTAGTTTCTGCCATAACTGCAAAACGCTGATACTCTGAAACTCGTTTCTCAAAGAAATTTGTTTTCCCCTCTAAGGAAATGTTTTCCATAAAATCAAAGGGATTTTCTGCTTGAAAAACCTGAAAAGAAGAGAAATATTGTTAGACATTCTGAAGAAGCAAATTGCATCACATAAGAAGAGCAACAGATAACTTGGGTCTCCCAACACCACGTATCATCACCTGGAGATCACATATTCTCCAGGGTCCTAGAGGCAGTCAAGACCGATACATTTTTTTTATTTTTATTTTTTTTATTTTTATTAGTTGGAGGCTAATTACTTTACAGTATTGGAGTGGTTTTTGTCATACATTGACATGAATCAGCCATGGATTTACATGTATTCCCCATCCCGATCCCCCCTCCCGCCTCCCTCTCTACCCGATCCCCCTGGGTCTTCCCAGTGCACCAGGCACGAGCACTTAAGACTGATACATTTTAAGATGACTAAGATCGCCTACTAGCCTCTTAAAGGAACTAAACTAGCAACTCTGGTATTCTCAGAAATTGAAAGAAAAAATAAAAGATTATTGCAGGAAATAGAAGATTTAATACCAAACTAAAATGTTTTCACAGCTTGAGAACTCTAAAACACCAAAGATATTATAGGCATTTTTCAAAGGTATTACTATTATGCGAAGAGCCGACTCATTAGAAAAGACCCTGAAGCTGGAAAAGAGTGAGGGCGGAAGGAGAAGGGGGCGACAGAGAATGAGGTGGTTGGATGGCATAACTGAATCAATGGACATGAGTTTAAGCAAACTTTAAGAGATAATGAAGGACGTGGAAGCCTGGCATGGGGCAGTTCGTGGGGTCCAAAGAGTTGGACACGACTTAGTGACCAAACAACAACCACTAGGCTGGCACATCTACGTGATGCTATAAAACACTATGCTACCAACAGCGTACTGTGGACCTCAATATGTTTCTTAGTTCACAGGAGACATGTAATCTTCAAATGGCTGTTAAGGAACCATGATCAGGGAAGACAGACTAAATGCTATCGCAACCCCAAACAAAAAATGGAACACATGTTGACAAGAAGCTTTTTCACTGCTTCTGAATTCAAGAAGCAGGCTTGGAGATACAGCTTGATGGAAACTGAGATATACTGATGATTCACGAGGAACAATAAAAGAGAATTCTTTAAATTTGGACTATTCAGGCAGTAATTATGAATACCACAGAAAAGAACATATTCAAATAACCCAATTAAAATGAGCAAAGGATCTGAATGGATAAATGCTCTAAAGAACATCTACAAAAGGTCAATAAGTATATGAAAAGATGCTCAAAATCATTATCCATTAGGGAGATGCAAATCAAGACCACAATAAGATACCATTTCACACCACATCACACTAGGATGGCTATTGAGGCTTCCCTGAAGGCTCATATGGTAAAGAATCTGCCTGCAATGCAGGAGACCTGGGTTCAGTCCCTGGGCTGGGAAGATCCCCTGGAGAAGGAAATGGCAACCCACTCCAGTAATCCTGCCTGGGACATCTCATGGACAGAGAAGCCTGGCAGGTTATGGTCCATGGGTCACAAAGAGTTGGACATGACTTAGCGACTAAGCACACAGGATGGCTGTAGGTGTGTAAAAGACAACTTATTGTGGTCATCACTTCATGATGTATGGAAGTAATATCATTATGTTGTATACCTTGAACTTAAACAACACTATATGTCAATTATATTTCAATGAAACTGGAAGGAAAAAAAAGATAATAAGTGTTAGTGAGGATGTGGAGAAATTGGAACCCTCATATATTGCTGGTATTAATATAAAATAATGCAGTCTGGTAGTTCCTCTAATGATTAAAGATGGAGTCACTATATGACTCAACAGTTTCACTTCTAGTTATATATCAAGATAAATGAAAACATATTTTCCCACAAAGACTTATACGAGAATGTTAATAGCAGCGTTATTCATAATAGCCAAAAAATGCCACCCAAATGCCACCATCAACCAATAAATGGATAAACAAAATTAGGTATATTCATACAATGCAATATTATCTGGCCAAAATAAGGAAAAAAATACTGATACATGCCTACATGAATGAAACTTTAAAACATTATATTGACTTTGTATATACCATATACCAGTATACGGTACATACTATGTACTGTATGATTCTATTTATATGAAGTGGAGATTACAGAACAGGCAGATCTAAAGAGACAAAAACTAGATTAGTAATGCCTAGGCTAGGATGGGGGCTTCCCTGGTGGCTCAAGGGTAAAGAGTCTGTCTGCAAGGCAGGAGACTGGGGTTCGATCCCTGGGTTGGGAAGATCCCCTGGAGGAGGGCATAACAACCCCCTCCAGTACTCTTGCCTAGAGAATCCCGTGGACAGAGGAGCCGGGCAGGCTGCCGTCCACAGGGTCACACAGAGTCGGACACGACTGACGCTGCAGTTAAGCAGCAACAGCAGGGATATGCGGGGTGGAAGAAACAAAGGTAAGTGACTGACTGCTAACTGGGAATAGAATTTTTTTGTGGAGTGATAAAAATGCTCTCAAATAGATTGTGATAGTCGCACAACTCTGCAAATATACTAAAGGCCACTGAATTGTACATTTATTAATAGGCATATTGCATGTTCTGTAATTTAAATCTTAATAAAGCTATGTGTATTTTTTTTTTCCAAAAAAAAAAACAGACATGGTGGGCGTGGTTGATGTAGTGGAACTCTGTGAAACTGTGTCAGAAATAGTGTTAAAAGAAAGTAAAAATGTGAGTGTTCACTCATGGCAGGATACAGTGGAAAGCGCACTGGACAGTAGGCATAGATTCACTAGATTTTAAAACTGAGTATCTTCCAAATCAGTCATGGCATGAACAGAATGACTAAGACCAGCCTAAATCAAGTAGCTTGATTTTGACACACAGAAGTACTTTAATATTTACTGACTAATCCAAAACTAAGTTGAAAACAACATTAATGTGGCTTCTATTTGGAATTTTGTATAAGTGACAACCACTTGCTGATTTAAATAATCTCTTATTTTACCGAAACGTGTTGGTCCCTCAGTTGTAGCCAGCTCTTTGAGACCCCATGGACGGTAGCCCACCAGGCTCCTCTGTCCATGGAATTCTCNCAATTCAGGGGTTGCAAATTTGATCCCTGGGCGGGGAAGTAAGATCCCACATACCTTGGAGCTACTGAGCTCTCATGCACATGCTGCACTTAAGACCCAATGCAGCCAAACCAATAAATAAAAAATAGATTAAAAAAAAAAACCCCAAAATCCATTTTATGACTTTTCTCTCTTCAAATATGAAAACTATTTTTTTTTAAGTTTAAAAACTTACTTATTTTTCAACAAGCTCTTTCAAATGATAAAAATACATTCTAAGTGAAGCATCCATGTCTTTCCAGTGAGAGATCTTTACATGCCTGTAAATCACATTTTACTATTCACTAATTCATTTATTTCTTCATTCTATGAACATAGGATGCATGCTTAAAGCCAGATACCTTGCTAGTTTTTTAAGAATACAACCAACAAGGACCTACTGTATAGGGAAGGGAACTCTGTTCAGTGTTATGTGCAGCCTGGATGAGAGGGGAGTTATAGGGGAGAATAGATAGATGGACATGTATGGCTGAGTCACTTTGCTGTGTACCTGAGGCTACCACAACATTGTTAAGCAGCTATGCTCCAATTTAAAATAAAAAGTTTAAAAAAAAAATACAAAACAAGAAACCATCACTGCCCTCTAGTAGCTAAAAATCTAAAAATCTAAAGCTAAGATAATTAGAATAGTTTGGTATGGCATGAAATTTGATATGTAAGTTTGATATATATATAAAATAGTCCTGAAACAAATTTTAGTATACATAAAATCTTAATGTATAATAAAGACTGGCTTATAAGCCAAATTTTAACTTGACATAATAATTGCAATACATCATCTATTGGTACTGCCCGGTTGACCATGTAATATTTCTGATATCTATTTTGACCTACAAAATGGCAATTTCATATGAGTCAATCTAATGCAGTCAAACATCAAAGAGAGATGTGCTACTTATATAAGCGTCCCTGCTTACCTGCTCAATTTCAACAGCATTAACAATGATCTCCCTAACCCTTTCTTCTGAAGGCTTATTTACTAAGTATTGAAACATCAGGCAAGCAAAGTCGCAGTGAAGCCCCTAAAACAGAAGAAAAATATCACTGTCAAAGAACATTTTATCAGTTATTTTCACAGTGATCAGGCTTTATATAAGCTAGGAATGCAATACTGAACTTCTGGAAGATGGAAGAAGGATTAATAGGGCCAGGATCTTCTTGTCTCCAAATCTCATTAAAATGCCAATCATAATAACCTATAATGAAAAAATTTTAAGGCCAGCAAATCTCAGTTAATTAACATGAAAGAAGAACTAACGAACAACAACGAAATCAACAAATCTGCAATCAAAAGCATTTTGGAAAGGAAAACAAACTAAGAAGAATCAAAAATAAAATTCATTTTTAACTTTAAAAAAATTAAGACATTGAAAAACAATTAAGTATTTAAAGAAAAAGTAAAACTCAGATTTTAAAAATACAACAGTTCTATTAAACATGAATGGTTCAAGATAAAAATAAATTCAATGCAAGGAAAATGGAAACTGAAGAATTAAGGATACCATCTGAAGCTGTGTAAAGCAGAAATGACATTGCGGAAAACTCAAAGACAGAAGTAAACAAATTTGTGAAATACCTTGAGAGTAGAATTGTTGTGCAAATACATGAAATGTTATAGAATCTTAAATAATTGGAAAACGGTGCAAGGAGCCTCAACCTACAATAACTGGAATTTCAAAATACAGAACAGATGGTATAAAGCTGAAAACAACTGAAAAAAATTTCAAAAAGTCAAAACAAAAAAGAGAAGGAGGTCAGAGACATAGAAGGATGATGGAGTTCTAAACAAAATTAACAATTAGATACTGACAACAAGGCAGAGTCAATTAACATTTCTAAACTACACAGAAAAAGAAGTAATTTTGTAAGCCAACAAGGGAGGAGAGGAAGGAAGAAATATGTGCTTTAGAGGATTAAACATCAGAGCTGTTTAGCTTTTTCTAACAGAATCAACAAAAAACCAAAGACAATTGAAAGATGAGACTCAAATCAAAGGCTGTATTCCAAGGATTATTTTCCTAGTTAAATTGTCATTCCCAAAAGAAATCATTAAAAAAAAAAACAAAAAAAACAAGAGAAAGCCTCTTTAAATAACTAATCTTAGAAAATTTACTAGTAAAACATACCCCTCCCACTTGACTCAAGAGATATTTCAAATTACCAAAGGCAGAATTTCAAATATACTGCTGAAAGGTGATAATGTAAATATTGATTAGAACCAATAGCTAGCTACCAATTACAGAGATGAGTATGAAAAAGGAAGGCACTTGTAATTGTTAAATCAATAAGAGAATAAAATTAATTTTGAGGTTTAAAGTGACTCCAATCAAAATCCCAGTGGGACTGTTTTTAAATTAAAACATTAATCTGCAAGACTAAATGAGCAGAATCTTTTAGGAATACTTTAAAGGAAAAGTTATGAGATTTAGCCTACTAATTATTAAAACATAAAAGACTATAATAATGAAAATAGTTTGTTACAGCATGAAATTTGTCACACAGGTTAAAGAAAATGCCCTGAAACAGATTTTAGTATACTTGAATCCTTAATATATAATAAAGAAGATATCAGAAGTCAATGGAGAAGGAAGGATTACTTAAGGAGAATTGGAAAAACTTCCCAATTGTGGTAGAAAAGACAAGTTCATATATTGTTAGGTGGTGCTACAAATTGTTATTGCATTTCTGGAAAGAAATCTACAAGTAAGTATGATGGCCTTTAAAATGTTATTGTTCAGTCACCTAGTCATGCCTGACTCTTTGCAATCCCATGGACTGCAGCACGCCAGGCCTCCCTGTCCCTCACCATCTCTTGGAGTTTGCCCAAGTTCATGTCCATTGCATTGGTGATACCATCCAGCCATCTCAGCCTCTGTCACCCTTTTCTCCTTCTAACTTCAATCTTTCCAATCATCAGGGTCTTTTCCAGTGAGTCAGCTCTTTGCATCAGTTGGCCCAAGTACTGGAGCTTCAGCTTCACCATCAGTCCTTCCAAAGAGTATTTAGGGTTGATTTCCTTTAGGATGGACTGGCTGGATCTTGCTGCCCAAGAACTCTCAAGAGTTCGCACTGCAGTGTGAAAGAATAAATTCTTCGCCGCTCAGCCTTCTTTATGGTCCAGCTCTCACAACCATACATGACTACTGGAAAGACCATAGCTCGACTATATGGACCTTTGTTGGCAAACTTATATCTTTGCTTTTTAACACACTGTCTAGGTTTGTCATAGCTTTCCTGCCAAGAAGCAATCGTCTACTTATACTCTAGTAATTTTACTTCTAGGGAATGTAGCTTATGGCAAAATAAATAAACAAATTGAAAACCAGAAAACAATCTAAATTGCTAACTATAGAATAGTCACATGATACATGCACTCATTAGGATATGTGTGTGAGTGTGTGTGCTCAGGTTCTCAGTAGTGTCTGACTCTGCGACTCTGGCCTGTAGCCCACCATGCTCCTCTGTCCATGGAATTTTCCAGGTAAGGACACTCGATCCAGTTGCCATTTCATACTCCAGAGGGTCTTTCTGACCCAGGGATCAAACCAAGTCTCTTGTGTCTCCTGCATTGGCAGGCAGATTCTTTAGCACTGCGCCACCTGGGAAGCCCTCATTAGGGTAAGTAATATCTAACAAAATTGTTTCCAAAAATTGCTTAGTGTCACAGAAAAATGTTCACGATAAACTGTTATCTTAACTCATAAAAATATGAAAAATGCAGAATATCTCAAATTGTAGAAATATGCTATTTGTATATATTTACATAGGTTTAAATGTAGAAATGCAGAAAATAGTCTAGAAGGAAATGTCAGTACAATATGAAAGGTGTTTTGAGACTGAATGATTTTATTTTTTTAATTCTCTGTAATAATCATACATGACATTAATTAAAATTACTAGACATTTAAAGACATGAAACAACAAAATGTAATTACACAAAGCATTTTGTGGCACTTGAAAAGTACTTTCATATATACTATTTCATTGCATTTTAACAAAACCCTGTTAAAATGTGTGGTTGAAGAAACTGAGGCTCAGAGAAATTGAGTAACTTGACAAGGTCAATATGGAAATAAGCTAAGAAGCCAGGAGAAGTCAATCAACGTGAGCAGAATGGCTATAACAGTCTAAACCCTGAGAAGAGATTAATGACAAGGTTTCTGCACTTGAGGAGCTTAGAGAGGCAAGTACAATATACTTTATGGAACCTAAAATAGGGACAAATTCAGGTTTCAAAGGTATATGTAGAAGAAAGAGTGGTCAGTTTTCCTTAATTGGATCAGGAAAGTTTTAAGTGGCAAATTGTGAGAAGGTAATCAAGAGTTGGGAAAAAGGGGGGGGCGGGTAGTAAAGGTGGAGAGTGTTGCAGACAGAGAGAGACAAGATTTAGTTACTGACTGAATGTGGCTAAAAAAAATTAAAAAAGAAGGAAGCTAAAATGACTCCCAGATTTCAAATTTGGATGATTGGATAGAAGATAGCTTCACTCAATGACATAGAGAAAACAGGAAGAACATAATTTGGGAGAAAATGATGAGTCTGATTTCCTGAAATACCAGGCTTGAGATATCTGTGGAGCCTTCCAGGAGTAAATATCTGAACATGCATTTGAATATATGGGTTTGGAGCTCAGGAAAGAATAACCAGGCTAAAGATAAAGTTTTAGTTTCTATAAGCACCCAAGTGGCAGCTGATTCCATGGGAATAAGTAAGGTCAACCAGGAGGCCATGGAGAGGGAAGGAGAGAGGCCGAGGTGGGAGCCCAGGAGTACCCTGATGCATAAAGATGCACAGAGGCTGAGGAGGAATTCTAAGAGAGCTAGGAGGAGAACACAGACCTAAAATCCAAGGAAGAAATGACTTCCTATTTTAATTGCAAGGATATTTGGGTCACCACAAGCATTTTCAAGGGAAAGAAAACTAAATGAACACCAGCTAGGAATACAAATAGAACTAGAAGAACACTTCACTCCTTACTTCATCTCTGCTGATGAGCTCATTGGAAAAAGTGAGTCCGGGCATGAGTCCTCTTTTCTTTAGCCAGAATATAGCAGCAAAAGATCCCGAGAAGAAAATTCCTTCCACAGCAGCAAAGGCCACCACCCTTTCCCCTAGGGGAGAAAAAAATAGCTTCACTTTCTGAAATAATATATACTGCAGACATGTTCAAGCTTACCAATAGATAATATAAGTTTGTACATATATAACTTTTTAACAACCATATCATAACTGTTTGGCCAAGAAATAAAATCAACAATGTAGTGCCACAGCCAAGTCTTCGGTGGAGGAAATTTGCTACTTCAACCTACTAGAGCAGAAAAGCATGTATACTTCAGGTGCTATGTCCAACACTGAACTCCTGCAGGTCTTGAAATCTGGAAAGCCTTCCACACTCAAAAACAAAAAAAAAGGTGATTTATCTGTGCTACACATGCCTATGGGTATGGGTGCAGGTACATGTTTTTGAATGCAGTATGTATATACATGTATGTTTGCATACTATGCTCTGTTGACCCCTTTGAAAACAAAAATAGCTCTTTCGACTAGTGAGTTGCTTGTTTTAGGATGGAGCTTTATTATTTATTTACATAGATTACTATATTTTCATCTTACTGTTAATAAGAATGGATAGTTAAAATTGAGACATTTTTAGTCAACATAAATGTGATGTCACGTGAATATTTATCTGTAAGGGAACAAGACTATAATTTTACACATCTGTGACTAAGAGGAACATTTTCATTTTAACTATTCTATGCATTCACATGAATGCTACAGAAAGAAAATCATAACAGAAATAAAGAAGGCTGTTCTTTTTGGAGAGGATTATAGGATGATAAGGGGTAAATGTTACAAATTTTCTTTTCTTTTTTTTTGTTTTTTTAACAACTTTTCACAAATAGATGTGAACCACAAAGAGACTTTCAAAATACTTCTTATGAAACCTATAATGAATTGCAAAGGCATCATGATTTGTCTTAGAGATAGGGAAGTAGTATGTGTTTTTAAGATACAGCTAACCTCTATGATGCAATGCATTAAGATTGTGTAACATACTTTTTTTGATGTTTGAAATGTAATTTCATTACATATATTAAAGTTGAATCTGTATATTTAATGTTTTAAAGTTCTTTAAAGATATGTTTAAAGTAAGCAGTATACTTTTTTTAAAACTATGCAGATTACCATAGGATGATTGCTGCCCTTCTGTATTTTCTCTCTTTCTAGGTTACTTCTCTGGTAGTGTCAGGAAAGACATGCTTCCTGCGAGGCATGCCATCATTTTCCATCATTTCCTATATACACAAATCTTTTCACTGCATATTGAACACTTGTTTCCCTTTGTTTTTCTCTAAAGCCAGTTTCTCACCATGTACTTCTCATCAATTTTGAGATAATTCAGTTCAGTTCAGTTCAGTTGCTCAGTCGTGTCTGACTCTTTGCAACCCCATGAATCACAGCATGCCAGGCTTCCCTGTCCATCACCAACTTCCAGAGTTTACTCAAACTCATGTCCATTGAGTTGGTAATGCCATCCAGCCATCTCATCCTCTGTCATCCCCTTCTTCTCCTGCCCCCAATCCCGCCCAGCATCAGGGTCTTTTCCAGAGTCAACTCTTTGCATGAGGTGGCCAAACTATTGGAGTTTCAGCTTGAGATAATTAGCTGGGTATAAAATGCAGATCACTCTCTGGTGAGAACCAGGAATCTACAGAATTTTTCCAAAATTCTCCAGATGATTTTTACACACATTGAAAACCACTGCTTTTCTCATTATCACAATGAACTGAAGGCAATGCCACATACATGTTTCTTCCCTGATACACTACATAATTGTCCACGTCTTACACTGAATCACTGGTTCTTGATGTGTTATCCAGGAATCCCTGGAGATCCACAGACCAGGAGGTCTGTGAGGTGAAAACAATTTTCATAGTGATACTAAGGCATTATTTATCATTATTACTATCATTCTCTCATTAGTATAGAGTGGTGTTTTCCAGAGGCTACACGACATATCACAACAGTCTGAAAAACCTCATAATATGCTCCTCCCTTTTGTAACTATATATCTGAAGGAGGCTAGATTTTCTTTATATACCTCAACCAAAACAACAGTCTGCAGCAAACTGAATGCAGAAGCAGATATAATCCAGCCATCCTCCTATAAAGCAGACATTAAAAAGACTTGCAAAAATAAAAAACTAGGTTATTCTCACTGATTTTTTCAAAATACAGTGTATCTTTTAATAAATATACATTATTTATTTATTATTTATTGGGAAATTTACATAGTAAGTTAACTATTTTCAAATTCAAGAAAAGAGAGCGTTGCTAAATAAAATTTATTTTTTCCACCCTCTACTTGATCATATACTTTTTTTTTTTCATTTATTTTTATTAGTTGGAAGCTAATTACTTCACAATATTGTAGTGGTTTTTGTCATACATTGATATGAATCAGCCATGGATTTATTTTAAAATATAATGGTTGTTACTGTTAATTTAATATGCATTAATAAGTAAATATTTTGAAAGTTTCTTGGTTTTAATTTCTAATATGTAAATGTCAATAGATACAACCATATAAATAAAAGCACTTTGGAGTCCTTAATAATTTTTAAGAGTGCAAAGGAGTACAAACTGAAAATTTTGAGACCTCCTTCTGCACATAATGAATAAAACCAGAAAGTAAAGACAATCAATTGTGAAACAGATAAGAATAAGGAAGGTACTTAGGGCTACTTATATTAAATATCTGAATATTTTAATTAAATGTAATAAATATTTATTGAGCAACTACTGTATATGAGACAATGTTAATTGCTTCCTTTAAAAATGTTATTGAATCTCAATTCATCCTACAGGGTGTTTGCATTTAACTTATTTGAAAAATAAGCCTGCTATTGCAAACTGTTCTTGCCTTAATTGAGTACACTAATCTATATATTTGTTCCCTGAAAAATATTAGGACTCTGACTTGCTTTATTTTAGGGAAAAAATAAACATTACTCAAAGCATATAGTCTTCCTCTAATATTCTTGTCCAAGTCTATGTGACTGAATTAATTATTTTAATTGGAGAATAATTATTTTACAATATTGTGATGGTTTTTGCCATACAGCAACATGAATTGGCCACAGGTATACATGTGTCCCCCCGTCATCCTGAACACCCCTTCCTTCCCTCCCCACCCTATGCCTCTGGGTTGTCCCAGATATTCATCTTTACCTGAAATTATGCACTGACCTTTTACTCTTTCAACTTTTAACTTAGTAAACATAATAGATAACAGATTTAGAATATTTTTTCACCAGCTTCCAATTAATTCTTAGGAATAGTGATATTACACCATGTAAAATAGTATTGTATAACCTAAGCAAATTTGATCAAATATAAATTAAAGTTACATACCAAAAGTAGATTTTCTATCTGCTATCCATCTCAAGGCCCAATCTGCTTTTTTCTTAACATATGGCATTGTTTCAATTGCATTAAATAAAAATTCTCTGTAAAAACAGAAGAATTAATGGCAAAGTTATTTTCGTTTGTTTGTTTTTATTTTTGGCTGCACTACGAGACTTGTAGGATCTTAGTTCCCCAACCAGGGATCAAAACCTGAGCCTATGGCAATGAAAATCCCAAGTTGTAACCACTGGACCACCAGGAAATTCCCAATTAACTTGTTTTTAATCAAACTATATTTGATTCTATGCAATTTATGGTATGCATAGAATCTGGAGTTTCTCTGTATTTTGGCAAGTCCATAAACTATAGAAGTCAAAATAAAACTCAAATTAGTGGTTTGAATCTGGTCTGATACAAAATTGACTAAATTAGAATATTTGATTTCTAAATAGAATGTACTGATGAACAGTTTTCTAAGTTATAATTTCCAAAGATTTATTGGTCCTATGCAGGTTTTTTTTTTTAACCCAACACATTACTAAGTAATAGAAAATAGTGTATTCCTAAACTTCCATATTTGAATAATCTTTCCCTATATTTAGTTTCCTAATATTAACACAACCAAGTGATAGATAAAAGCTTTGTAAATAAAATCTCAGCAGCAATACCTTTTCTTGGGATCTCTGATGTAAGTGTCTATTAGCAAACTGTACATCTCTGAGTGAACATTCTCGATGAGAATTTGAAAGCCATAGAAACAGCGAGCCTCCGGAACCTGTACCTCCTGACTAAAGCGCTCCACCTAAAAAACAAGGAAAATAAATATATCCAATTCCATGGGCTCTCATTAAACACTGCAAATCAGAATCTGAACACCAGAATTATCACATAAGAATCACCTGTCATGCCACAAACAGGTCAGAGAGACCTTATGAATTATTCTAAGTGGTATTGTTTAATCCATCGACCCTCCACAATTAGTTGCATACTGTATTCTTAAGCAATTAAATAAATTGACCTGTTAGTTGGAAACACTACCTATAAAGCCAAATAAATTTTAGAACATCTATCAAAAACAATAATTTTGCTTTGTAGAATTGAGCTTAAGTAGATCTATTGAAGCCCCTACCAGTTGATAATGAAAGTTTGCATCTTCCCATTCTTTTTAGTAATAAAACATGCCTTCTAATCAACCATAATACAGTGGGGAGCCAGGCCCAGTGTTCTATTACAGAGCTCTGGAAAGGTTATTAAGGTGCAAATTCTTTATTAGGATTACTATCTAAGAGTAAACGCAAACTCATGCTTATGCCTTGTAAGCAGTCTTTATTGGTACAATATGCTTGGTTTCATGATATTTGTTGGGGGTGGGGTCAAATACAAATGAAAACTTGTCTTTGACACTTCATCAGAAAAAAATTTTTCAAGAGTTAAGCTTCATCTAGTTCATTTCTTAGACATTTTTCAGGTTCAGTCTGATTATCTTACTGCCATCACTATCATTACCTGCTGAATTAGAACAAAAGTAGAAGCAAAAATCTCACCAAATTTTCATTCACAATTCCATCACTGGCTGCAAAAAAGGCTAAGATGTGAGAAATAAAATACTTCTCTTCTGATTTAAGCTTGTTCCAGTGAGGAAGATCCTTTGATAAATCAACCTGAAATAAAAAGATTTTCAAAAAATTTAACTTAAATTCTTCTCAAAGCATGGAAAACTGACTTCTGTCTCAATGTTCAGTGGGACATCTTTGCAGTAAAATGTGAAAAATGAAAAAATGTTATCGTTCTTGCTATAGACTATTTATGTTCCCTCAAAATCCATATTGAAACTTAAGCCTCAATGTGATGATGTCTGGAGGTGGAGACTTTAGGAAGTGATTTGTTGGTGTGCAGTCACTAAGTCATGTCTGACTCTTTGCGAGCCCATGGACTGTAGCCCACCAAGCTCCTCCATCCATGGGATTTTCCAGGCAAGAGTACCGGAGTGGGATGCCATTTTGTTCCCCAGGGGATCTTCCTGACCCAGGGATCGAACCCACATCTCCTGCATCGGCAGACTCTTTACTGCTGAGCCATCAGGAAACCCTAGGAAGTGATTAGATGACCCGCATGAATGGGATTAGTGCTCTTATACAAGAGATCTCAAAGAACTCCTTTGCCTCTTCTGCCATATGAGGACATAGTAAGAAGACAGCTGTCTATGAACCAGGCAGCAAGTCCTCACCAGATATCAAAACTGCAGGCACCTTGATCTTAGAATCTCCAGCCTCCAGAACTGTGAGAAATAAATTTCTGTTGTTTGCAAGCCACACACTCTATGATATTATTATATCATATCAGCTCAAACTAAGACAATTACAAAGGAACACAACAAAATCAAAACATGAAGAATTCTATCTTTTAGCTAATTGAGAAGCTGGCCAGGCTGTCCTCTCAAAACATTAACCTAATCTGTTCTCCCCACAAAAAAGAAATGATAACTATGTGATGGGGTACAGGTGTTAGCTAACACTATGGTGGTAATCATTTTGCAGTACATAAGCGAGGAAGCAACAATTAGAACTGGACATGGGACAACAGACTGGTTCCAAATAGGTAAAAGAGTACGTCAAGGCTGTATATTGTCACCCTGCTTATTTAACTTACATGCAGAGTACAGCATGAGAAACACTGGGCTGGAAGAAGCACAAGCTGGAATCAAGATTGCCAGGAGAAATATCAATAACCTCAGATATGCAGATGACACCACCTTTATGGCAGAAAGTGAAGAGGAACTAAAAAGCCTCTTGATGAAAGTGAAAGAGGAGAGTGAAAAAGTTGGCTTAAAGCTCAACATTCAGAAAACTAAGATCATGGCATCTGGTCCCATCACCTCATGGGAAATAGATGGGGAGACAGTGGAAACAGTGTCAGACTTTATTTTTTTGGGCTCCAAAATCACTGCAGATGGTGACTGCAGCCATGAAATTAAAAGACACTTACTTTTTGGAAGGAAAGTTATGAACAACCTAGACAGCATATTTGAAAAAAGCAGAAACATTACTTTGCCAACAAAGGTCCATCTCATCAAGGCTATGGTTTTTCCAGTAGTCATGTATGGATGTGAGAGTTGGACTATAATGAAAGCTTAGAGCTGAAGAATGGATGCTTTTGAACTGTGGTGTTGGAGAAGACTCTTGAGAGTCCCTTGGACTGCAAGGAGATCCAACCAGTCCATCCTAAAGGAGATCAGTCCTGGGTGTTCATTGGAAGGACTGATGCTGAAGCTGAAACTCCAATACTTTGGCCACCTCATGCGAAGAGTTGACTCATTGGAAAAGACCCTGATGCTGGGAGGGATTGGGGGCAGGAGGAGAAGGGGACGACAGAGGATGAGATGGCTGGATGGCATCACTGACTTGATGGTCATGAGTTTGGGTGGACTCTGGGAGTTGGTGATGGACAGGGAGGCCTGGCGTGCTGCGATTCATAGGGTCGCAAAGAGTCGGACACGACTGAGTGACTGAACTGAAGTGTATTAAAGCAATATGTTGTATACTTTATAATTACACAATGTTATATCTCAATTATAGCAATAAAGTTGGGAGAAAAACTGAAGTCTGGAAGAAATGAATGAAGGGGCAAAATGGAAAGAGAGGGTAGAAACTGGTCAAGAAGGAACTGAGGTGAATATACTAATGATTTTCAGCAGCCAGGGCTTTAACATTTTATACAGTATTTACCATTGTGTTAGACAGATAACTAGACTCCTGTTAAGCAGTTGTAGTTGCTACTTTACTGCTAGCTAATCTACTTTTATACCCAGAAGTAGGGTCAGACAGGTAATAATCTGGGTTTTAAAACAATTTACAGGCACAGCTTTCTGTACCTATATAAATATTTTGAAAAATGTTTATTGGAAATAGTCCTTGGAATTAATAGTAATGTACTCTAGAGTTTGGTAGAATTTACAATTTTAAAACTGTCTCTAAATGTAACTTGTAGATTTTGTCTCTGGAAGATCTCTTACAAATGTTTCATAATAATCTCACAAACATTTGAAATGTGTAATTGTCTTTTGCTCTTTATTTATTTATTCTAAAAATCCCTAATCTCTTTGACCATTCCAAAAAAGACTAAAGTTTCATCTTTTCAATCATTTATGTTCCTTTCCAAAATCCTTTTCCCATTACTTTATGTTTTAAATGTTTACTGAACACCAACTACATGACAGACACTGTGCTAAATGTTGGGGATACAATGGAGCAGAGAGGAAATATTTGCATACATCTTTTAAAATATGCAAGCTAAAAGTCAGGTCCTATTCTATAATGTTAAGAGTTCACTCACGTTAAGCTGACATCTTTCTGGGTTTTGTGTATTATACTCCTGACACTAAATTTTAATATTACAATATGCTCACTCTTAAATATTAAACTTATCTTCAGCAGGTATTTTCCATTCCTAAAAGGTAAACTTTTTGCCCAGCTTTATTCATTTGAATAAACTCTCAATTTCACAATCTAAAGATTGATTGCAAACTACTGGTTAACAGAACTGCCTAGGTAGCTTTAAAAAAAAATAATAAACACCAGAACTTTGTCTTCTGAATCAAGTCTTCAATGATCAGTCATATTTAAGAATAAAAGTAAATTGCTGGTAAAACAATGAAATCTAAAGATGATTAAACTGTAACTTACATAATTTTTTTAAATGGAACTAAATACATGGAACTAAAAATGTGTTTGACTTCCCAATTAATTATGTATTTGAATCTTTCTATCAGCTGTCTGTAAAAAATGTGCATGCATGCGTGTGTGCTAAGTTGCTCAGTCATGTCTGACTCTTTGCAACCCCTTGGACTGTAGCCCATCAGGCTCCTCTGTCCATGGGATTTTCCAGGCAAGAATACCAGAGTGGGTTGTCATTTTCTCCTCCAAGGGATCTTCCTGACCCAGGAATCAAATCCACGTTTCCTGCATTGACAGTTGGATTCTTTACCACTGAGCCACCTGTGAAGTCGTACATACAGCCACTGAAAATATACAGCCACCTGTATATTTTAGTTTTTAAAAAGTATATTTTTAAGTCATGGTGCAACACATAGTACACCTCTTAAAAGATGCAACGAATTTCTTGATGAAATTTAGTAACACAAGTATCACAAGTACTTTTTTAACATGATGAATGAGAAAGCCACCTGTGCACCCTATTTGTTCTCTTTACAACATCTAACAAAAAGCTTTCTAAAAACCACAGTTAGGGACAGTCAGGTGTGCCTAACACTATGGCTTGATTTGAATATACTGGGTTTTTGGTTTGGTTATTTTTTTTTTTTGCTCTACAGGCTAACTACAATATAACAAAGATGTTAATAATGTTAACAAATATAAAAATAACAAAAATGGGTGGGTGGATAAAATTAGTGTAACAGAAGCTTCAAAAATTTATACTAGATTTATCTAGTATAAATCTCCTCCATTCTGTATAAACTAGTAGCTTACATTTATTTGGCTCTCACAACATGCCAACTAACATTCTATACATCTAATGAATCCACACAACCACCCAATGAACTAGGTACTATTAGCCCAGTTTACTGAAAGCACTCAGAGCAGCTTCCCAGAGCAACTTTCCCAGTGACACAGCTAGTATGTGGTAGACCCAGGATTTGCACCTCAGCTCATTGCAGCATCTACATTCTTAACAGTGTATATAAAGAATCAATTTCTCAACAACAACAAAAAAAGGTAAATAAACAGATCAACAGACCCAAATATATCTACACAAATAGTTATATCTATCTGCAGTATACAGGCAAACATGCACACCCAGAGAACAGAGTGATATACAAGTAACATCCATCATATTCAAAGATGAAGACAAGGATTATTTGCAGACTATGGAGCAACTGCTTGCATGACCAACTGTCCTTAACAAACCAGGGAGTATTTTCTAATTTGCTGTGTTCAATTCATTGCCCAGGCGGAAATTGCCACACTAAGAGAAAACATTCCACAGCTGTCCTGTCTGCTGGGGCAGTTGTGCCAGGTTTCATGTGACTGAGGGCAGAGCCAGACAAGGAGGAGCATGGTGAATTCCGGCCAGCAGTTCAGAAGTTGAGTACATTGCCTGGGCAAATTCCTTGTGTGGCAGCTCTTTCAGCATCATCAGCTATAGCAGCAAATGTATTTATTTATTCATTTATTCCACTGACTGTAAGTAAAAACTAGTCTTATTTGGTCACAGCAAATCAAAAGTCTGTTCAAAAATGGAAAATGGGACTTGCCTGGGGGTACAGTGCATGAGAATCTGCCTGCCCATGCAGGGGACAAGGGTTCGATCCCAGGTCTGGGAAGATCCCACAAGCTGCAGGGCAACTAAGCCAGGGCAGCCCAACTACTGAGCCCACGTGCCTAGAGCTTGTGCTCCACAATAAGAGAAGCCAGCACATTGAGAAGCATGCATACCGCCACAAAGAGTAGCCCCCGCTCACCGCAACTAAAGAAAGTTCGTGTGCAGCAACAAAGATTCAGCTCAACCAAAAATAAAAAATAGCAAAAAAAAAAAAAAAAAAAGGGAAAGGAAAATGTTTGAAAACATATTAGAGGTAAAAATCTGGTAGACTGAGATGACATTTTTGCAGAAGAAAACATGTTTATAGTTAGAAGTCGAAACACAAAACACTGGAGAACCCTGTATTCAGTCTCAGGGATTTCAGACATTATTGTATACAACTGATTTTATCCAGGGTACCTTACAATGTAAGTTCAAAAATGTTAATGTCCCGTAATAGAAAATGTGAACACTGCCCTAGAGAACATGTTTGCTGATGACGGCAATGCTACTTACCTCTTCTGCTGTCCAGAAGGATGCCTGTGCCTGTTTATACATTTTCCAAATGTCAGGGTACTGGATTGGAAAGATGACAAATCGACGAGAACTCTTTCTTAGGAGTGGCTCTTCATCTGACTTTGCTTCATTTTCATTGGTATCTGAAGATAACCTCTTTGAAAAATAAAGTACAAACACCCATTTTATGTAGAGATTCCCCTTTATTCACATCTAACACACATCTGGGAGAGTTAGGGAGACAGCACAGTTTGGGAGCCAGTCTCCCCAGCTCGAATCCTTACTGTGATCTGGTAGCTGGTCAATGGTGTTTGCTTAGCTGTGTAGCTATAGAAAGTTCCTTAATTTCTCTGAGTCTCAGTTTTCTCATCAATAAAATAACACTTACCTTAGAGATTAATTTTGATGATAAAAATGCTTTAAACAGAGCCTGGTGCATAATAATCACTCAAAATGTTATTTCTGTTATTGTTACTCTGAGGATAAGTATAAAAAACTAGACCCATAAATGTCACAATTTCTAAAGTTGTGCGCAAAATGTCTCTTCAGTGCCTCTCACTGAGACAGAATGCTGGCACGAATAGGCTACTATTATAAGCTGCTTTTTAAGTTTTCTTGTCTAATCTTAACTGAAATATTATCATACTCATCTGAAAACTCTTTACCAACAACTTAGCAGTCGTTGTCTGAACCTTCCCATGTACCAATTGGTTTTTGCTATTTACATGCTAACATTCCTGTACTGTATATGGTCTCACTGGGACTGTCTCAAAGCTCTGTGGGATAAAGAAACACATACCTAAATGCATATTGCTTGGAAAGAGGATAGCACTCTAAAAGGGGACAATGCCATATACATACATATATATATACACACACATATATATATATACATTTTAATAGTCATCAAGAATGGAGACCTTTTTTTATGTATATTGTGGTATTTCCAGAGTACTGTGTTAAGTAAACATTAGTTTCCCCAGTGGCTCAGCAGTAAAAAAATCCACCTGCAATGCAGGAGCTGCAGGAGACAGGTTCAGCCCCTGGGTCTGGAAGATCCCCTGGAGGAGGGCATGGCCACGCATCCAGTATTCTTGCCTGGAGAATCCCATGGACAGAGGAGCCTATGGGCTACAGTCCATAGGGATGCAAACAGTCAGACACAACTGAAGCAACTCAGCACCCGTGCACAAGTAAGTGAATGAACTGTTGATTTCTCTTTATCCTGTGCTCCGATTACTGGATACCTTTAGATTTTAAAAAATTTAACATAAAACCACAATATATCAGTGAAATAATCTAAAACCATTCAAGTCAAGCCTCCTCTGAGTACCCTCACATACCCCTCCCCTCAGCACACCAAAGGCCTTGATTATATGCCTAAAATAGCATATAGCTCACTGAAATTTAATTCTCTGTCTACAGTTTCCTCTAGACTCTGCTTCTTAACAGTAAAAACCAGTTTTACACTTGTGGAATCCTTAGAGCTTAGCATACAGTCTGGCCTTTACTCAATAATCATTCCACAAACATTTAGGTAAATTTCTAAAATGGAAGTGGTCAAGTTATTTTGCTTGTTTGTGCCACCATTGAGGACCTTGCTCAAAATTGTAACTTGTACTCAACTTCTGCAATCAAGATCGCTGGGAGAAGTATCAATAACCTCAGATATGCAGATGACACCACCCTTATGGCAGAATGAAGAAGAACTAAACAGCCTCTTGATGAAAGTGAAAGAGGAGAGTGAAAAAGTTGGCTTAAAGCCCAACATTCAGAAAACTAAGATCATGNGAGTTAACATAGGTGATGGCGGTAGGAAAACTTGTTGAAAAAAGGTATGGTGTGGAGGTCAGGAGGAGCGAAGTTTATAAAGAGCTGAGTCTACGATGCAGCACGTAACGCGTCCTTAATGTATGCCAGGTGTAACTCATCCCAAGGACGTGAGGAGGTGCTGCTCCTCACCTGCATGTGGGGATGTGTCCTAGAACCCGTCACCTCTATGGACCATGTCTGGAGGAAATACAGGCCAATGGAATAAAATAGGCAAGTGAAAAATCTGCATATGTTTATTCTTTTCTCTTGACCAAGGAAATTCAGGCAATTAATATTTGAAAGGAATCTGAAGCAAACAGGATGGAATCAAGCGTTTCCCCATATTAATGTCATATGACCCTCAACTGCCTCCAGAGCCATTTTGGTTGTGCTAAGAAGACCATGCCCAGAGTGCCTCCTTACATCTTCCTTAACAGGAGTTCTACCACCCATGAAAAACTGTTTTCTTCTCCCTTCCTGTAAAATCAGCCTAGCTGCCTCTGAAGAGAGACCCTCAAAGAAATGACACTGAAGTATAATGAGTAATGTTTCTTCCTCAGTTTCCTAATTCGTTATGCACCTTAATGATATTCCACCATGCTGAGAGTTTCCTGGATGGGAAAACCAGCCTCTGACCTCAGGCCTTGTTTGTTTATTCCATTTTCTCCTTCCTAAGATTCAGCCAGCAGAAACTTTCCAGAAAGTAGAATTTGTTTGAAAACCATCCAAGCTTCATTCCACCCTTTGACTTCCCAAATGTCCTTCTACTGTGGATGGTTTTAGTGTGGGTGCTTCTGTCCAAGAAGCCAGGAGAGAGGCTTTTTCTACTCAAAGAGAACTGGAATCAACTGACCTAGAAGTCTTAGAAGAACCGAGAGATGGTGGTCTGGGGGCTATACAGCCAGGTAGTGACTTGGTGATTCAAGAGGCTTTTTTTCTCTCCTAACTGGCATATCAGTTGTCACAGGCTTTCTGCACTGTGACATCTTCATTGGAAAGACTGATGCTGAAGCTGAAGCTCCAATACTCTGGTCACCTGATGCGAAGAGCCGACTCATTGAAAAAGACGCTGATGCTGGGAAAGATTGAGGGCAGGAACAGAAGGGGATGACAGAGGATGAGATGGTTGGATGGCATCACTGACTCAGTGGACATGAGTTTGAGCAAACTCCTGGAGATGGTGAAGGACACAGAAGCCTGGCATGCTGCAGTCCATGGGTTGCAAAGAGTTGGACATGACTCAGCAACTGAACAACAACAACTGATGTAACTAGTGAAATGACAGGAGGAGGAGATCATCAAATATGACTGTAGGAAAAAGTAAAAATAAAAATGAGTTCATTAGAAATAAAGTTGAAAGAACCAAAGTGATTTGCTGCTGCTGCTGCTAAGTCGTTTCAGTTGTGTCCGACCCTATGCGACCCCATAGACAGCAAACCACCAGGCTCCCCCGTCCCTGGGATTCTCCAGGTAAGAACACTGGAGTGGGTTGCCCTTTCCTTCTCCAATGCATGAAAGTGAAGTCGCTCAGTCGTGTCCGACTCTTCGCAACCCCGTGGACCGCAGCCTCCTAGGATCCTCCGTCCATGGGATTTTCCAGGCACGAGTACTGGAGTGGGTGCCATTGCCTTCTCCACAAAATGATTTGATGCTGGTGTAAACCAGCCAAACTGATGAGGCTTAAAGCAGTGGTTTTTAACTGGTGCAAGTTTCAAAATCTCAGAGAAAACTTTCTCAGAATGCACTCGCCTTCCCCTTTACCAGATTAAAACCACCATGTATAATGAGATCATGAAGTGTGTTGCTGAGGAGGATGTATTTCACAGGTGAATGATGAGACAGTAAAGATGAGATTAAAAATCAATGTTTTGGAAACTGCTACCTCTACATCAGAACATGAAGTAAACCAAATGACCATATTTCACTCCACACTGTTCATTATAGTACAAAATTGTGTTCACTTAAATAAGCACTTAGTATTATTATTCATGCTTTCAGGCAAGTCATTTAATCTGATCATAATCACCTGTAAATTAAAGACTAACATTTGCCATACTTGTGTAAAAGGAATGTTACAAAGATCAGAGGAGATAATATAAATAAAAGTACTTTGCATACTCTCAAGTGTTATGAACTTTTAAAATTGCTTTGTGTTACTATTAACTGTTGGGATGTTTCTGGCCTTAGAAAGGTGGTCTTCTATAATTCATGAAGTAATTAGAAAATTGCCGGAAAGGCTTAAAAAGTGAGCTATTCAAATCGCAATTTAAAAGGTTGAGGTTTTCAGTCAACAAATATTTCAAACTTATCTTGGCCCACATTGTTCTTCCTTGAGTTCTTGTAGACTACACTTGTTTTTATCACACTATGCAGCATTTTGATATGATTTTGCATTTTTCTTTTTGTTATGTATTTTGTCCTGGGGGTACAGGTCTATATGCAGAGCTGGAATTCTTTACTTTCACTCTATTTGCTGTGCGCACCACACTAACAATCGGGAATGACATCACAAGCAGCAACCCTTGCACCAAGCACCCTTGCTCTGAATGGAGTTTGAAAATGCTGATAATTGATCAACATCTGGATCTGCAAAAACTGCTGATGACGACAACTATCTTTAAACGACTTTCAAATGAAAGTCACATTTAAATACATATATTCTTCCTGTTCCATCATGGTAATATGGATTGTTAAGAAGCTGAATTAGGGGGCTATTGGAAAGATCCTGCCGTGTGAAGAGAGGGGCTTTAACGAACACAGACCTTTGAACTGGGCTACAGATGGTAATATTACTTATTTTCCTGATGATGAAAATCCACACACATTTTAAAATACTGTCAGGAGGATCATATATCCCCACATTCTGGGCTCTCCAGGGCATTCTCTGTGGATGTGGGCTAAGAACTCATATTTTAGAAGCAAAGAACAATATGGAAAAAGAACTGGAAGTAACTTTCTAAATCTGGACTTATGGTATGTGGGGGACAATGGAAGAAAATAACACCAGAAAGAAGGCAGAAAACACTTCACAATTTTTCCAAGTGTGCTCTGAAGAACTGTGTGGTCTCTCTAATGTTAGAAAGTGCTCAGCACCTGGAGAATAACTGAATAAATCAGACAAAAACTCTTGCTTCTCACATTACATGTTTAACAAGAATTTAATATGAATAAACACCTCCACCAACCCAAGTCATTAACAATAGTAAGAAGTTACAAACACAAAAGCCTTTAAAAAATCAATTTGATCAATAAAGAAGATAAGGGGTTCAGTTTCAAGACATCAAGAAGGCAGCTGAAAATATAACACTATGGTAGGTAGAGCACTCTCTCTACTCTCTCATGGCGTGAAGATCCTATTAGTAGTCGCCAAGAGGATGGATGTGATTAGCCAGGGAGAAGCTACAAGGCAGCAGCAAAGCTGAGAATGCAGACTAGAGAATGCAGGTATTTCTCTTGACAGAAAGAGAAAGGGCAGGTGGAGAAAGAGGCAGCTGGGATTAAAAGTGACAGAAATGGACATAAAGCAAAGGCAGAGGTGACCTGACTTGGCTAAAGCAAAGGATCAAGATGAGATGAAGAGGAATTCCCTAAAGTATCCACATTGTGGGTATCAATGGGACTAAGGCGTTAGGAATTTTCTGGGTCAGAGATTTTCAAACACCTGGGGGCACTAGGAGGCTCAGATTTCAACTCTTCCCACTTACCCTCCACCCCCAGGTGCTGGCATTCATTGTGGAGCACAGTTTAAAATCATTCCTATAGGGAGTCATGGGAAGTTTCTGAGTAGGAATTAACACGAACAAGGGTACTATGAGAAAGAGAAATTGAATATCCACATGTAGGCTGAATTAGAAAAGAATCTTAGATTTTGGTAGCAACGACGGTGTCCATTTCAGAGATTGAAATGACAGCCTGAATTAAGATGTAGTAGTTAACATGAAAAAGCTGCTTTGCCAGTCGAAGGAGCTGGGCAGTTTGGTGTGGGAATTAAGACCCTTTGGGGAGTATTTATTTGAGGGAAGTGACATGGAGGCATAGGTTTATTGATGGATTAATTTGGCAGTGGTAAACAGGATTGGACAGCTGGTAAGACGGAAAGTAGAGAGACAACTAATTTGTTGTAACCACACAAGTGCTGAAGTGAGGAAAACGTGAAACAGTTTCTCATAGGCATTCCTTAGTAACTTTCCACTGTCTTTTTCAGAATGGTGCTTCCTGATTCTGGTCACCTGGTCCCAAGAAGTGTCAGGACACGCAAGGGCAGTCATCTGGGTCAAGACTCCCCAGCTAGCATTCACCCTGCACTGATCTAGACTGGCATTCTACACAGCCCCTTCTTCCTATCCACCTCCAGTACACGACTCTCATTAGCTTGCCTTCACCTCTCTCCTTCTCCTCGGGTGAAGTAAAATGTTTGGATGCTATCAGAGTTATACACTATTCATAGATGTTTTTATTCTCATTTTTCCATTCCCACCAAATCTGACAAAACAGGTGGAATACTGGTCCAGGAGGGGGAACTTAGTTTTAAACCTAGATCTTGGTTTTAAACTTGAGTTGTGTGGTCCTGGGCGTATCATTTCAAAAACAGGGGCTATCAGTTAGATTAATGATAGTTAATTTGGGGAAACTATCAAAATTTTGGACCTCTTTCCTCTGGAAATTCACAGCTGCGCATATAAAACCTACAAACTTCAGGAGATTCATAAGCCCCTTCAAGCTCATCTATAAACTCTTCAAGACAGTGTTCTTAAAATATGTGTACCATGATCCAGTGGTTAAGACTGTGCTTCCACTGCAGGGGGCACGTGTTTGACCCCTGGTAGGAGTAGTTTCACATGTAGCTTGGCATACCCCAAAAAAACAAAACAAAACAAAACTGTGTACCAGGATCATCTGAAGTGCTTGTTAAAAATGCAGTCCCAAACCCATCCCAAGAGACTTTGATTCACTATATCTGGGGTGTAGACCCAGATATTTACATTTCTTACAACGTATTCCAGGTGATTCTGATGCAGGTGGCCCAAGTTGCACCAATATATCTATAGAAATAGAGTACTTAAGGCATCCTTGCATCTCAAGTTAAAAACTGTGAAACAGGTGCTCATTGAACTTCATTCTAGATCTAAAGTTCTGCCTCTGTCTTTGTGGGTCTGTACTGAGATATGGATAATAAATAAAAATTAACTTCCAGGTCTTAAGTCTGAACTGTTGGAGCTACCACCACAAACAAAAATATCTGAATTGTCCCATTACAGTAGGACAATGTGTTTGTTTCAAAAGAGGAAGAGAAAGTTTGAGGGCTATTTACAATTTGTTAGTTACTAAATGTTTACAAAGTCAAAATAAAGTAAAATCCCAAATCTGGAATCTACACCTTTCTGAAGAAATGTAAGAATCTCTGTGAATCTGACAGCTGAATCTCTGTGAGCTGAAACTCTATTAAAAATAATCAAAGATACCACACACAGCAATAGAAGTATTTACAAAATAACAGGGTAAGAAAATTATAGCACAACAAGTTTAACTACCCTACAGCTCTATAGCATAATGAATCCCAGTGTGTTTACTGTTGTTATGTACCTGTACTAACATAGAAGGGCTTCCCTAGAAGCTCTGATGGTAAAGAATATGCCCACAATGCAGGAGACCCAGGTTCCATCCCTGGGTCAGGAAGATCCCTTGGAGAAGGGAATGGCTACCCTCCAGTGTTCTTGTCTGGAGAATCCCATGGACAGAGGAGCCTGATGGGCTACAGACAGTCCTTGGGGTCGCAAAGAGGCAGACACGACTGAGCGACTAAAACTTTCCCTAATATAGAAGCCGAGAAGATGAACACGTTAAGGTAGGTTTTATTAAGCACCCACAACTTCCGTGATACTTTGCATAAAGCACTTTACTTAATTCTTTGTGAAGGAAGTATCATTTCCACTGTAGAAATGAAGAAAGTGGTACCCCCAAAGATTCATAGCTCGTTTAGCGGAGTCTGAGGAAAACTGGTCTCCTAACCAGATCGTTGCCATTGTTATGAGGACTTCCCGAAGCCTTTCTACTCATCAGTTCACCCCATCCACCTGTGTCAGTTTCTACACGCATCCTTCCAAGTCCTATTAACCATCCCAGAGATGGAATGCATTGCTCCAGTAGGGCCACCAGTCCTCGGCCCTAGCCTCAACCTACCCTGCCAGGGCTCCAGAAGAGGGAGGGATGGAAGAGGGTGCGCCCTGCCGGGATCTGAAGTCTCAGGGTATTGCCCTCGGGTCGCCCCGAAACAGAACAAAGCAGAAAACCGGCTCCCTCCTCACCCCTCCGCGGGGACGGCCTTCTGGGCGTTCGAAAAGACGAAACGAGGCTGCGGCGAGAGCTCGAGGCCCGGCCTACCCCGGGTCTCAGGAGGCAATGAGTAAAATCTACTACAGAGGTCCTGCACTTTGCAGGTCCCCGCCGCAGCTCGCAACCCAGAGGCCAGGCGTGACAGCAGGGCGGGAGAGGAAGCGACAGCGCTGTTTACCTCTTCTGGCTGGGGCCTGGCCGCTTCCGGCCTTTCCGGGTCTCCCATCGCGCAGACTCCGCCAGAGCTACAGGAGCAGGGGGAACCGAGCGCCTCGGGCCACTGCAACTGGGACAGAACCAGGTGGCCGGCGGGTGCTCTGAATAGGCCCCGCCCCCTGGCGCAGGGACCGCTCCTACTCCGGCCGGCCCCGCCCCGTTCTACGACGCCGGCCGACCCCCGCTTTCTCGCCAGCCCATTGAGGACCTGTCCCTGATCGGGCCTGGCCCCGCCTCCCCACACACGCTGGGGCGCGCCCACTCCGACTGCCTCGCCCCACTCCACTGCGCCGGCCCCACCTCCCGCCGCAGCCGGAGTAAGGTACTCGGCAAACTTCGCCCAGCGCCACCGCGCGGGCACCGCCTTCCGCCGTAAAGGTCTCCCCTTGAGCCTGCCAACCCCTCGCCCACTGCACCTCGGGTCCCGCCTCCTCCACTAGGTCCCGCCTACTGCGCCTTGGGCCCCGCCTACTGAACCTCTGGGGCCATGCCCATTGCACCTGGAGCCCCGCCTCCTCCACTAGGTCCCGCCTGTGCAGCTGGCCCCGCCTCCCCTCCCGGCCCGCTGCCTTCGGCCCCTCTGGCGTTTTGGTCTTCTAGCCTCTCAGTGCTGGAGGTGCCCGGACCTCTTACGATCGAGACTCTCCAGCTAGTTCTCGCGTGCGTCAGGAACACGGTTTATGTCGCGCTAACTAGGCCTAAATTAAAAGACGCTTGCTCCTTGAAAGAAAAGTTATGACCAACCTAGACAGCATATTAAAAAGCAGAGGCATTACTTTGCCTACAAAGGTCCGTCTAGTCAAAGCTATGGTTTTTCCAGTAGTCATGTATGGATGTGAGAGTTGGACCATGAAGAAAGCTGAGCACCGAAGAATTGATGCTTTTGAATTGTGGTGTTGGAGAAGACTGGAGAGTTCCTTGGACTGCAAAAAGATCAAACCAGTCCATCCTAAAGGAAATCAGTCCTGAATAGTCATTGGAAGGACTGATGCTGATGCTGAAACTCCAATACTTTGGCCACTGATGTGAAGTACTGACTCATTGGAAAAGACCCTGATGCTGGGAAAGATTGAAGGCAGGAGGAGAAGGGGACCACAGAAGATGAGATGGTTGGATGGCATCACCGACTGGATGGACATGAGATTGAGCAAGCTCCGGGAGTTGGTGAAGGACAGGGAAGCCTGGCGTGCTGCAGCCCATGGGGTCGCAAAGAGTCTGACACGACTGAGCGACTGAACTGAACTGAACTGAACTCGGCCTATCCTGAGAGGTGGCCGGGTGGCGGTCGGACCGCACACTGGAGGAGCTAAAGAGGAAGGAGCGCTCTTCGAGTGTGGAGCGGTGGCAGAGGGAAGCCACGCCCTGGGTGGGAAAAGGGGGCGTCCCCGTGACACCGCGAGAGAGGAGAGAAAGCTACCCAGCTTTGCTCTGAAGCTCCCGAAGAGAGGTCGGGGAAAGTGTGCGGGACGAGGCAGGGGGCCGTGCGGAGGAGGAGGGGGAGAATAACGGAGGAGGGCGTCTGAAGGCCCTGTTGGACCTCAATCACCAAACTAAGCCTGTAGTGACACTTGACGAGCTCTTAGCAAGTGCCGGGCGCCGCGCGCGCTCTGTGAGCTGGGCCGCGGGTGCTCGGACGCCTCTGCGCCCTGCACAGTGACGCCCCCTGCCCTCGGCCGGCCCACCAGGAGCTCGTGCTTGGGGTGAACGACTGAGGTTACCCAGTCCGAAGTAGAAGGCGCCCGGGGTCCCTGCGAAACGCTCTTTTCCAGGCCCAGAGTCGAGGAGTGGACGGAGGGACAGACGCTGGGCGGCCCATGGGCCTGTTTCTCAGGGGAACTGTCTACAGGTAACTGCCCACAGAACGAAAAAATAGTGGGGTCCAAAAACCAGAACTGAGGCGAAAGAGATTTGCTTAAGTCGTTTGAAGCTGAAATGTTGAGGGAACCCTTGTCTGTCCTTGACAACAGGCACCTGTTTTGTGATTAGTTGAGGAAAGTGTGGTTCAAACAGGGTAGATAACTGAGCTTTGAAAATGATGAAGGTTTGTTCTCAGTCCTGCCCTAGAGTGGGGAATGAGCGCTAGCCGTTCTTACTTAGACAACTACAAGGGGCCACGTGCTGAATAAACAAATTTCCCATAGGTTAACCTTAAATAATAGTTAAATAAGTTCTGTGAAGAAACTGAGTCTTAAAGAAGCTAGAAAATTTATCACAGGCTATGTGGAAATAAACAGAGCAAAGTTTCTACCATTTAAGTCATCAGACAGTATGTCTCCTGTTTGTCAAACATCTTATGTGTATTGAACGTGCAAAAGTGAAGGAGTCTAGTGAAAAAGAATGTGGATTCTGGAGCCATGTCATCTGGGCATGAATTCTAGCTCCCTTCTTTATTAGCCGTGCTGCCTTGGACAAGTTACTTACCCTCTCTGAGTCAGTATCCTCAGTTCCTTCCATGTAAGACTGCTGCGTGGATTTACTAACATATTACATGCAAAGAAACTACTGGGGCAGAAAATTACAATGGTAGCTTTCAAGTACACTACTCATCAGACTATCCTAGAGGTCATAGAACAGAAAGGCTCAACTGAGTCGCTTGAATCACATGGTTTATTAAATTAATTGAAAACATACATTAAGGGGAAAGAGATGGAGTAGCTAACCTATGTAAGAGATGGGATTCAGAAAGGGAAGGAAGTGGAAGGATCATTCAGGTTAATCATTAATACTCATATATCTTGTCTTTGCTGCATCAGCCTTCCCAGCTGTTGGAATAATTACAAAAGCCAGAGTTGAGGATGGGCATGGGGGTCTCCGCAATAGAGCCAACATACCCTTGCTCTTCTGGAAGGATGCAGAAGCTAGTAGGCCTGGTGGTATTTTGGAGATCTCAGTTGTCAGTTTTCTGGATCCAGCCAGTCGGATGTCTAGTGCTGTTGATCAGCATGTGGTTAACTTCCTCCACCTGGTTGGGATTTTACTGTCTGCAGAATAACTGCAGGGCTTGGGGCTTCCCAGGTGCACAAGTGGTAAAGAACCTACCTGCCAGTGCAGGAGAAATAAGAGACATGTTTTTGATCCCTGGGTCAGGGAAGATCCCTTGGAGCAGGGCATGGCAACCCACTCTTACCTGGAGAATCTCATGGACAAAGCAGCGTGGCGGGTTACAGTCCAGGGGGTCGCAAAGAGTCAGACACTAATGAAGCAACTTAACACATGGCTCAGCATATTAACTACAGCCCTTGAGAACAATGAAAGGTCCTCGACTTTATTTTATAGCCAAATTATTATTTTGTCTTGTGTGCCTACTTTCCCTTGTCTCTGCATTTTCTTACTTCTCTTATTAAATCTGCTCTTTGAAACGCAGGGAAGGCCTAGGAGGCTAAAGTTTCTTTACCAACAAGAGTCAAGGGTCACAGGAGTTCTGTCCTTTAGAAGGCCCTGCAGGGTCCTGCTTGGTTTCAGAAGAATTGCTGGATCATATGGTAGATCTATTTTTAAGTTTTTGAGGAATCTCCATACTGTTTTCCACAGTAGTTGTATCAATTTACAATCTCACCAACAGCACACGAGGGTTCTCTTTTCTCTGCACCCGTGCCAACATTTGTTATCTCCTGTCTTCTTGGTGGGCTTCCCTGGTGGCTCAGATGGTAAAGAAGCTGCCTGCCATGCAGGAGACCCAGGTTCAATCCCTGGGTTGGGAAGATCCCCTGAAGAAGGGAATGGCTACCCACTCCAGAATTCTTGCCTGGAGAATCCCATGGACAGAGGAGCCTGACAGGTTATAGTACATGGGGTTGCAAATAGTTGGGCATGACTGAGCTTTTTGATGCTAGCTATTTTAATAGGTGTGAGTTGATGTATCATTGTGGTTTTTGCCTTGCATTTCTCTAAGGATTAGTGATGTTGAGCATCTTTTCATGTACCTTTGGCCACTTCTATATCTTCTTTGGAAAATTGTCTATTCAGGTCCTTTGCCCAACTAAAAATTGGTTTGTTGGCTTTTTTGCTGCTATTTGTTTTACTTACTTTGGGTATTAACCCCTTATTAGATATATGGCTTGCAGATATTTTCACATTCTATGGGTTATCTTTTCATTTTGTTGATCACTTCTTTGGCTATGCAGAAACTTTTCAGTTTGATGTTGTCCCCCTTTTTTTTTTGCTTGTACTTTAGGTGTCATATCTGAAAAATCATTGCCAAGATCCGTATCAAGGAACTTTTTTCCTATGATTTCTTCTAGGAGTTTGTTTCAGATCTCATATTTAAGTATTTAATCCATTTTGAGTTAATTTTTGTGAGTGGTATAATATTCTAGTTTCATTCTTTTACATGTGAATATCCAATTCTCCCAGCACCATTTACTGAAATGACTTTTTCTCCATTCAGTATTTTCTCCCTCAGATATTAGTTGACTGTATATGCATGGGTTTATTTCTGGAATTTTAATTATGTTCCATTGGAGTGACTGACTTTTAACAAAGAGAATACATGGCTTTTAAGTCTAGTTCATAAAGAACAATATGAACAGCTTTTGCCTGTTTTTTTCTACCTTTTGGAAAGTTTGCCTTAGAACTTAGGTACCATCCTACAGGAATCCAAAAACTAGCCTACAAAGAAAGATGACACAGAGAAGCCAATGTAGGAAGGACCTGAGGCACCCAATCAATAGGTACTATCAACTTCTTGATGTGTGAATGAACAAACTGTTAGAGGATTCCAGCTAGCAGCCATCAAGTCTTCCTTCCACTTGAAACCCTGGATATCAGAGACAAGCCATCATGATGGTGTCCTGCAGAGATTCCTAACACAGAGTCCATGAGCACAGTGAATGATTGTTTATACCACTAACCTTAAAGATAATTGGTTGTGCAAACATAGTAACTGGAATAGCCTCCAATCTACCTACAGAGAGTTGTGTGGTATGACTGAAGGCAGCTTAGCCTCTGGTGCAGAAAGTGTGTGACTTCATGCTACTACTGGCTTACAGTGTACCCGTAAGATGCAGAGACCCTCATTTCTCCAACTTGAATGGTCTTAAATTCTTTGAAGATTTTAGTATATATATATTGTTTTTATTATAATAAA